TTTCTGGCGACCATATACACTCATTAAGAGACCACCCATTATACAACTCAGACTATGAAGCCGGTCATGATGTTTTATCTTCAGCTTATAACGATTCAACAAAAAAGACTTTTCGACCAACTGAACCAGGAGGTAATCATACACATACATTTACAACAAATCCAACAGGCTCGGGTGAAGATTATATGCCACCTTATATGACAGTTTATGCATGGGTTAGAACGGACTGAAAGTCCTGAGCTCCAAAAGAGCGAACAGCATGACATTTAGACAACAGGTACGAAAGGAGGAAGGCATTTATGAATTATTTTTGAATAACTGAAGGTGTCACTACGTCACCATGTGTCACCGGGTTAATTAACTTCTCTTAAAATTACTGACAGCATGACATTTAGACAACAGTCCAGGAAATAAATTTTATCGTTTATGTTTACGTTAATGTTTCGTAAATGTTTTCATGAATGTTTTCAGTGTCACCACGTCACCATGTGTCACCTGGTTAATTAACTTCTTTTAAAAATGATGACAACATGACATTTAGACAACAGTCCTGGAAATTTGATGCAGCCCAAAAATAAAGTTAGTTTTAAAATTATTTTTATTTTTTTATTCCTATATAAATGACAGCAACAAACAACAACAGCAACTATATCGTTTCTGATGAAAAAGTTATTGATTCATTAGCTGAGGAATTAGTTACGGCAGAAACTAAAACCCTCAACGAAAGAATTGGTGAAAACAAGATTTATTTACATAACTACCTCAAACACGATGGAGGAAGAGGAAGGAAAACTGGTATGGCTTTATTAGTAAATAAAATTTCAAATTTAACGATTATAGATGTTGATATCAATAAATCATACAATGATGAACTTAAAGAAACAGTTAGAAAAGATATTTTATCAAAACTTTCGGATAAAGATGTTATCGTTAAAACCGCTTCAGGAGGTCTTCACATTTATTGTAACACTAATTTCTTCTATTCAGTTTCGAACAGAATGATTAAATGCTATTCCTGCAATGATTACGATATTGACATAATGACTTCTATGGATGATTCAAAGCGTTCATTAGTAGTTATGGCTGATTCAAGAGTTCGCAAGAATGCAACAGAACCAATCAATACATACTCATTCATTCGTGGAAGTTACGACTCATCAAAACAGAAGAAATCAAAAGGTGCGAATTTGAAAATGTTTTTATCATAAAATTTTTTATCAGTTACAATCGCCTGAAATGCTTGAGTGTTAAGAAGATTTGGGTCGCCAGTAATAGCCCAATAAGATGAATCAGTATCACCTTCAATGAAATGAAAACGATTAACATCCATGCATTTATACATAAAATCATAAATGAAAACTAAATACCAGTATTTTGCGTTATCTAAAGTGAAGAATGCCTCTTGTAAACATGTATCACATCTATAAAATCTATCTTTAAGCATCACTTGATATGTATCCTCACCTATTTCTCTTATGTTTTTAAACTTATTTGACATACATGCAACGCGTGCCTTCTGTGCATTCATTATTTTAGTCTTTGCGTAATTTTGTGTATTCATTGCATCGTAACCATATGATCCATTAAGCGAAATCTTGCAAAATAAACTTTTTCCTTTATTTCCTTCTAATTCAGCCTTTTGTCTTTCGTTCATAAATTCGTTCGCAAATTCATTAAAACAAGTGTTTTTCGTAAATGTTAAAATTGATTGAATATCATCGATGATAAAATGAAATCTGTCTATTAGATACCAAAGATAATAAGAAGAAAATGGTTGATATTGGTTGTGTGTTGATGCTAACTGAGTTAATTTCCTCTGTTTCTGGTCAACTGGTAGATTGTTTGATTTCATGTAATTATACATAAAACTGCCAATTGTTTTTTCATCTGTGATAATATCTAAGTTTCTTATTATCGGTAAAAAGTTTATGTAATCATTAATGTATTTTTCATCAATGTGACCCTTTACTTCAGCCACGAATAAAGTATTTTTCTTCTTAATTATTCCCAGTGCTTTTGCTTTCTTTGTTGCTGTATCACAAATGATAACACCATTCAATCTTCCCGGCATATACATTTTATGGTCAGTATATTGAATGAAATCATGAGGATTAGATGAAAATGATGAAGGATATAATGAATTAAAATCAACACCAACGAAATGAGTCATAATGTTGGTGGTGTCCTCATTTGATACAGTTTTAGTTTCTGGATTATATGAAAGTTTATTAATGTGCGTGATTCCTTTAAGATTTACTCTATGTTGAACATTTGATAAACCACCAGTAATTCCATTACGGAGAATGTGATAAGCTTCAACTGAATCTAAAGTCATTGGTAAATTATTTTTTAATGCATAATTTCTTAAATTGATTCTTAAACGTTGAACATCTTCATCTTTATTTGATTTTACGACATTGCAATAACAACACATTAACTGACAATTTTCTTTAGTATGTGGTTTTTCATTATCTATTCTATCTAATGTTGGTTTATTAGCATATGTAAACGCTTTACCACACATTTTGCATTTAGATGAAAGGATTAAATCGTGATAGTATTGAAAATCATCCATTGAAACATTATTTTTAGTATCCCTTTCTGCTTTTTCATCTTGTTTCTTATATGATTCAATTTTATATTTCCAATACTTTTTCGTTAATTCAAAACTTGATTCTATCTCTTCCTCAGGATATTTTTCATTAGGATTAAAGTCTTTATATGCTAAAGCGTAACGAATCATTGAAGCATTCGATGATAAAGAAAGATTATGAAGCATGTCAATTTTATAAACAAATGTTTCTTCAATAATTTTATCGATTGGTCAATCATAATTTCAACATCTTTATTGCAATAATGAATAAAATATTCTAATCTATTCTTAAAGTTTTTAGCATCATTGAGATATATTTGATAATCACTCTCTGATATAGTTTTTTGAGTTAATGCTGAATAAAATGAATCTTTCGTGAATGGTTCCTCTTTATATAATTCTTCTTCGTAATTTTCCCACGTGATGAATTGATAAGGGAAAAAGGATTTAACGCGTGATTTATTGTTTCCGAAATCTTGAGTGAATTGGTCTAATGTCCCACCCGCTATATAATTTCTGATGTCAATAAATCTCAATTCATATGGAACGTTTGTTTTCTTTACAATGATTTGCTTAAATTGAGAAGAAGAACCCAGCATTGATTTTATTTTCCATTTTGCAGTGTTTAAATCACGAAGAATTAAATTTAAATCAAACTTTCCCGAATTAAAACCTATGATATTCACTTTATTGAATTCCTCATCTAGAAGTTCTTTAAATGCTTCCTTCTGTTTTTCATTTAATGTATGGGACAAAGTCCCTGCCGTTTGCGGCTTCATTAATTCTTCATATTGTTCAATATTTGATTCAACAACTAATGAACAGGTTGAAAATAAAAACTCAATCCAATCAGAAATAAAAGAATCACTCGAAGTTAAGCAAAAATTCCTCGTATACGTTTTATCATTTAATTTAACCGTTGATGATACCATGAATGGTTTTAAGTAAGCGTTCAAAGTTGCACACTCAGAAAGTTGTAATTCTTCTTTAGTCTCTAATGTTTCAAAGTCAAAAGTAATATAATATCTTGTCGGTTTATAATATTCCTGCAAATTGTGAGCTAATAACCACTGATATATCTTCTGTTTCGTAATATGTGGTGCATATGGTTGCTGGGTCTTTTGCAATTGAACGTCTTGAATTAATCTTCCATTATTTTCTTTACATTTCTCACAATGCTTTAAAAATCTTCTTTGGTTTTTCCTTTCTGGATCATCACGGATAGAATAAACTTCTTCTTTACAATATGGACAAACTTTATAGCCGGTGAGTGCTTCAACGTCTGTTATTCTGTCGACGTGAAGTTTTCCACATGGACTCTGTGTTAATAAAATATTTACTGTTTCAAATTCTGGATCTATCATTATTGATTCCACTAATGGAAAGTCTACCTTATTTATGTCCACGTCTTCTGGTTGAGGATCACAATAATAGAAATCAATATTAACATTTAACATTCTCGCTAATCTCTCACTTTCTGATGAAATGTCAAACCCTTCATATGCATCTATTGCTTCATTTAAATAGCTTCTACGAGTTTTAGGATTAACACCATCAGGAATGTTATAGAAGCGTTTAAATAACCTTCTACCTTCTGCTCTAATTTGATTATCATTCATTTTAGCTGTTCCGTTTTTGTTCATTTATGTAAGAATAAAAAATTAAAAATAAATAAAAATAAAGTTTATTTTTTAAAGCCCATAAAATGAATTAAGAACACATAAATTTTTATCATCTGCGACGTGACGAATACATTTTAATTTACTCAAGAATGCGTACCCTGATACATTAAATTTAATTCCTGTCTTATTTAATTTCACAACTTTGAAAAGGAATGTATGAATAGCTATAAAATGATGAGAAGATGTTTTATGGGTTGCTTCCATTTTTTCTGAAATAAATGAATAAATATAATGTTTATAAGTTTTCATATCTTTTATGTTCTTAATAACGAATGGTATAGACCTTTCAACTTCGTCTTCCTTCGGTGCTGTTCTTTCATATGAAACATTATTGGTATCTTCAACAATGAAACCACAATCACATAAAATTTTATATGTTCCAATGGTTTCTTTTGATATAGGGTGTCCAAAGGTGTGTTTAGCACAAACCTGAATACTGCGAATAGAAATAAACAAGTTACATATATATAAAGTTTATTTAAATATAATCACCATTGGATTCAATCACGCGTTCGCAGCGATCGATCCAGGCTTCAAAGACACGCTTTAAATCATCATGAGAAAATTGCTCAAATTGCTCTCTTACAAAATTTTCAAGATCATCTGGACTCGCGAATTCTTCATATACTTTTGAAACAGAAATCCAGAAGATAAAGCAAGAACTTTTAACATGTAATTTAGACTGTAGTGCGAAAGATGAAACAAATGAACAGTATCTTTATGAAATGCAGGACCTCATCGACCATTTACCCAAATTGCCTGAAATCCAACAACAAAAACTCACTATTCCTGAATTCGACGAAATAGAAGTCAAAGCAACTGACTCAGTAGAAATAAAGAAGTTCATACGAAAGGTAAACTATGAGTTTCTAGGATTTCATTGCAACCATAAGGTTATGGACAAAGATTGCGACATGGTATATAAGAATGTTTCTGACATATATAAATCTGAAGAATTTAAGACCTACGACAACTTTGTTTCGTTAGTTGCTGAATGTGTATGGCAGATAAGAGATAAAGATAGAAGAGGCAAAGTATGGAACAAACAAATAAGACCCGCTATGTTTGAGATGAAGAGAGCAATTGACGCTTTAGTTGTTTTAGCTGGTAAGGTTTCAGAATATAACGCAAAAATGAACCCGCAATGTTCTAAATGTAAAGCAGCAATGAGGAAATATAACTACTCCGTCAAAGAGATAGAACGTATGAGAAACGACTATGCAGACTTAAAGAAAGAAGCAGAGAAGCCGGTAGAAAATAAAATGGACATGTTAGCATTTCTGAACAAAAACTATCCAACAGCAGAAGATTTCCTTCTATCTGACGTCAAGAAGAAATATAAAGAAACCTTCGGCATAGTTAAAACATTCGATGTACTAAAAGAAGAAATAGAGGCTACAAAACTGTTTAGGATTTCAAATATACATCGTACAATTCATGTAAAACGCTTGTGAAAAAACAGGTGAAAAAAGAGGTGAGAAAACGGGTGAGATCTCACCTCTTCACCTAAACATTATTTTTGCTGAATTCAGCACAAAATTCTGAGTAAAATAATTTTTAGGGCTTGTGTCAAACCGTTGAGTTTTCACAAAATTCCAAAAATAACGTTTACCATGTAAAACGGTTGTGAAAAAAAGAGGTGAAAAAACAGGTGAGAAAACGGGTGAGATCTCACCTCTTCACCTAAACATTATTTTTGCTGAAAAATGACCAAATTTCATGAATTTCCTCATATGCTTGCTTCCCTCGGAAAACCGAGAGAAGAGATTCCGTATGAAAACAGTGAAGAACAGCGAGTAAGTAAAAAACCGCAGTCGCCAAAACTCTATGAAAATCGTGAAGAACAGCGAGACCGACTTTTTTCTGGGTCGCCTAAAACTCTATGAAAACAGTGAAGAACAGCGAGTAAGTAAAAAACCCCAGTCGCCAAAACTCTATGAAAACAGTGAAAAATAACAGAGTATTTTGACAACTTCAAACAAGTAGGGTAGATGACACTTTTTCTATTAAACCGTTTTGACATTTCTCATGAGTGAGTATAGTTCTGCCGAACCATTGGAAGAGAAGAAGTACCCTTGCTGGCAAAAGACAAAAATAGTTGCCTTAGTTGTCATTGCAATTGTACTCGTAATTGAATTCATTGTACTTCTCTTCACGTACCTAAAACTCAAGGACGGCATATGCTTTAAGAAGCTACCATCTTACTAAGACTAAACACTTAGATTTTTCAAGCTTGACTTTTTACAATTTGAACTTTGTTCGCGTAGATATGAATTCTGAAAGAAGTATGAGGGTCTTGTATGACTTTATACTTCTCCCATAGTTCATATCTGTCAAACTTACCTGCCATGGACTCTTTCATAAGTTCCATGAAATCGTCTTCGGACAATCCGGGGAAAAGTACAATGTCAGTAAGTATTCTTTTAACATCCTTACTTAAACTCTTTGCTGTCTGTACACAAATGACAACTGAGATGTTAAAGTGTCTGAGCTTCTTAAGAATTCGACACATGTCTTGTTCTCTGTTCTTTAACAAAGGATGAGAAGCAAAGTCATCTAAGATAAGAAGACATCTATGAGGGTAAGTCTTCCAATCGTAAGATTGCAATTTCTTCGAAATGTATTCTATCTCTTTCTGTTTGTTTCTGAAGTGTTTCTTCTCTAATATTCTCTGCATTTCCTCATTAGGGTCTTTAAACTTAGAATTTATATACTCATTTATAGCATTGTACTTCAAAACTCTTCTTTGGTACTTCTTTATCCAATCTAACAACTCAGTATCCTTTATACATACTAACTTAGACTTCTTTATAATATCTTTGAACGAATTGACGGTTTGGTCAAATTGACCAGAAGTACTACAAATGACAACTAACTCATAGAATGGGTTCTTCTCATCTAGTTCTTGTTGTTGTGCAGCCATTTTAAGATAAGTGAAAGTCTTACCCGACCCAGGTGGTGCAATTAGACCTGTTATACCATTCTGAGCAAATAAGAACTTGTCATGTATAGGTTTTATCTGAGCATTTTCTAACTTCCTCTTGTTCTTGTTTAAAACATTCTCAAATTTCTTGTCAATGTCAGCAAACTTTTTTTCTAACATATTTTTAGAAAAATTAAAATTTTTATCTTTTAGAAAATGTCTAGCGATTTCGCTATCTATATTCGAGACAAGCTTTTCGACAGCAAAACATCTGTCGACCATAAAATCTTACATAGTGTAAACAAGAAAGGGGAATTTGTTCTAAAGTTCTGTTTCTGGGAATATGACAAGAACCATAAAACATTAAGCAGAGAAGTCTTAAAATTTGTCAATGACAGACTTGTTGACAGAGATGACGCCTCTTGGAGAGATGAAGTCCAACAAAACTTCTTAGAATGCAAAGAAGACACATGCGCTGTTCTTGAAGATGAAATAGAAAACAGAATAGATGAGCTATTAAAGGACAAAGAACTTTTACATAAATATAGTTGCGCCAAATTTGACATAACTCCACCAGAAAAGAAGAAGAAAGAAAAGAAAGAAAAGAAAGTAGAAGAAGAGAAGAAAGAACCTGAACCAGTTCCAGAGAAAAAGAAATTTGACATGTAAAAATAAAATTTTATTTTTAGAACATTTCTGGGTCAATGTCAATGTTCTCTTCCTCTTTAGGAGCAAACACTGGCTTAGACTCTAAAATCTTTTTACCCAATTTACCTTGAACTTCTACAACTTTAGACTCATAATATTCATAGTCGTCTGCTTTCTTTGGTTCATAAGGTATAACAAGTTTGTATGCTTTGCCTTCTTTAAGGTTTGAGAACCTTCTGTCAAAACTTTCTTTGACTGTTAACAAACCTTCTATGTCTAAGTCTTCAAATTTCGCACCATTTTTAGTCACAATAGCAAACTTAACTGGTTCGATGTTCCAAACTTTGCTGAATGAAGACTTTTCAAAATGGTAGAAGTAAACATTCAAATATGTGAATGGGTCTAGTTCTTCTTTAAGTCCTGACATGTACTTGTTTACTGAGATGAATTTTGCCATCTTTTTCTATCGGATAAAAAAATATTTTTTTTTATTCTTGACTTTGTTGTTGCATTTGTTGCATTTGTTGTTCTTGAGCTATTTGTTGTTGAAGTTGTTCTTGTAATACAATACTTTCACCAGTTGCATCTTCCAATTCGAAACTTTCTGCCGTCATTGACAAATACATAGGACATAAAAGTTTTACAAGAACAAAGTTTGCGTCAACTAATGTCAACGTTATACTTGCCAAAGTGTTTGAGTTCACTAAGGTTGAAAATTCTGCATTCGAATGAACAATAGGCAAACCAGCAGAGAAAGTATTGTTTATACGCATAAGTATCTTTTGGTCATAATAGTTTCTGTCGACATTCGAATAACACTTTGAACCTAAGTTTGAAACAATATATAAGATTGGTGTGCTTAATGTCAATGGAATAGACATTCCTTGTATGACACCTTTTCCTGTTATAGGAAACTGTTGGTAGTAAAAACCAGAAATAAGTTTTGTATTATAGCTCATATCGTTTATAGTAAACTCAGTCGGACATCCAAACATAATGAAACCTGCTCTAGTTGCAGCACATGTTACACCCGTACTTAAAGTATTAAATAAGTCAACAAAACCTGTTGGTGGTATATCTGAGTAAGTATCTTCAAAGGAGTATTTTTTACCATTCACAACAATAAAGTCTTCTGGTGTCAAAAGAGCAAAACAGGCTTTAGTCGTCATTGTGTTTAAAGTTAGTTTACAATACCGTCCTTGAGGACTTTGTAAGTTTGTTGTTATAGAATTATATGACTCAGGGTTTTTAGTCGTAATAGTATAAACCATTATGTCTTCTACCATTTACTTAGCAAATAAATTTTAATGAAATGTTGTGGTCGTCAAATATTTTTATGACGTCTGGGAAACTATACTTTAAGTTCAACGTTTCACCTCCTTTCATAACGTATATCTTGTCAATGACATTATATGAAACACCACAGCAACGAATGTCGGGTTCTATTTCTTTGATGTTTATATCGTCTGCCTCTGTCAAAAGTTTCAATAGTTCTTTCAAAACTTCATGAGGTGCAATGACATATGAGTTCACTTTTACAGGGTTGTGTTCGACCAAGTTTAACATTATACCTAAAGCTTGACAAATCTTCTCCTGAGTTTGAAGTTTGTCTTTCAGTTGTTGGTAGTCGTTTCGAATATCTGCAACAGAACTTAAGTCTCTGCTAACTTCAGGATATGTTGGTTGTTCTTTTACAGGAACAATTGTTATACCATCTTCGTCCTCGTATGGTTTCCCCACTTCAACATCTCTGTCTTTGACATTGACAATAACACTTTGACTGTTTGTTTGAGTTGGTGAATTTAACTTCACATCTGCCACCGCCATTAAACCTTTTGAAACACTCACGCTTCTATTTTTCGGAAATGACATTTTACTTAGAATAAAAAGATGGACGTATTCGAGTATCTCTTCGAATTGAAGCAGAACAAAGTTTACACACACAAACAATACAAATACATTGACAGAATAGTTCTTTATACAAACAATGGTAAATGTTATAGAATAGCAGTCTTTGCTGAACCTAAATATTTTCATAAAGCAAAGAAAGTTGGTATAACTGAAATGGTGAAAGTTCTTGACGTTGACAAAAATATAACAACAAAACTTACAGATATTTCTAAAGGAAAGTTTATAATACAATATTATGTCAAAACTGGCGTACTGTCAATATTTGACGGAGAGAAGTCAGTTCAAGAACAACTTACTGACCTGCTGCCAAAATCTGCTCGATGGAAGCTGTCGTTATGCCAATCTGAGGAGCCCCAGCAGGTTTCATCGAACGAATCTTCAAAAGAGCATCTTCCGTGAAAAGTGCTATTGGTTTTGTAAACTTCTTTGCTCTCAGTTCATCTGGACCGTCTCTGTCACCAGTATATTGTATTTGTACAGTACCAACAGTTGAAATACCACCCATAAAGTCTTCTGAGTCAGCAAATGGAATGCCAAGCCAAAAGTTGAACGTCTCCATTTGTATATTGGGTTTTTTGACCTCCTGTATGAGTCCATACTTTCACATATGGCATAATAGAACTTTGCATTTCAGGGTTAATGGTTGTTGTGAAATTGTTGTTAAAGTTCATAGCATCTAATGTCAAGTTGTATGACCTCATATCCTCAACTGTAGAATATTCTTCTCTTGGATAATATTTGCCATCTATGTTTATATGATATTTAATACCGGGGTTGTAGAAACAAGAATAGTCATTTATAGTTCGTCTGAACAGTACAAACATAGTATCTGCATGTTTCATTGCAGTTGTTAAAGCAATATCTGTTCTTGCACCTGGGTCAGCACTTTGGTTTCCAACTTCACCTGCAAAGTCTTTGACAGATATTTGGTGTATAGGGAACATAAGTGGAACTGCAATATATTTGGCAGCTAAAGCATTTGAAATATCTGGGTCCAACATATAGACTGCAAGTCTGCTTTCTATTCTCTTGCATTCAAACTTTTCGCATGTAAACTTAACTGGGTCCCAAGCAGTTCCAGCAGCATTGAAATAATAGTTTACTTCATTGTTGAAGTTTGAGAAACCAAAGTCTAAGTCAACTTTGTCTTTGCAAAATTCGGCGAATGACGTTTGATTTGTTCCCTTTACGTCTGTAATAGTGAATGGGTCTTGTGTTGGTGCAATGACTAAGTTATTTTTGCTTGGAAGTAAGTTCGATAGAAATTTTTCCTGCCCAGTTTGGCAAGTATCTTTTAAAAACCTGAAGATGAGGAAAGATGACAAAGGAACTCTAAGTTTCAGTTTTACTTTAGTGGCAGCAGTTCCATCTGAACCAGAAAGGTTAACATAAACTCCTGGAACGTTAGGGTCAAGTCTTCTTATTTTCTCAATATTTGCATACTGGTCTGTTTGTTCTCTAGCTTGTGGTTGTACTGAGTTTCTCAAAGCGAACCATTCATAGTTTGCCCATGTTACTGTTTGAACTAAGTCAGAGTTAGAATATATCTTATATCCCATGAAAACTTCTGGAGCATATTGGTATCCGACATAGAAAATTCCATTGCAACCTTTCTTGTCAGACAACTTGGCAGAAGGTTTTATTTCAATGTCTTGTTCCACGTATAAGAATGAGTTGTCAATAGAAATAATATGAAACCTGTCGCAAGCAATATCTACTGTTGTTGAAGAACCTTCTCCAAACTTACCTACGTTTCCATAAGAAACAGCAGTTGTATATTCGTAAGTTCCAGGAACTATTCTGACCTTCTAATGGCATTGTCGCATTCGTTTACCATTCGGAAACATTTCCGTTCATGGCATCCAAAACTGTTGGCGTTATATTCTGAGCGGCGTACATTTCATATGGGTAAAAATATAGAATAGTTGGATTTATGTGTCATAATAGAACCCACTCGTACCAAGCTTTACTTTCTTCCTGACTGAGTTTTTAACTCTTCTTTTTCCTTCATTGCCACTACTTTCACTAGATGAAGTTACTTCTTCACTACTTTCACTTTGTTCTACTCTTCTTCTTTGGTGTCGCTTTTGGTACTTGCCCTCTGCTTCAAGTTGTTGCATCTTTGCCTCATGTTCACCTAGTATGTTGTAAATTTCCCATGTCCTTTTTGCCTTTGGGCTCTGGTCGCCCATCTCAGGTAACCTATATCCTAGAAAGATTTTGTCATAGTTTGTATTTGAGTTCTTCGCGTATTGTTTGCATGACTCTTTCCTGAGTTTCCGGTTCAAGCTCTTCAAACAGAGCTTGTCCATATGGAATAAGCTCGTTTCCAAATATATGTTTTTGTAGCCATTCTGGTTTTCTTTCCATGTTACCAATAATATCTTTTGTGAATGGGAAAGCTTTTACCCAATGTTTCAGTCTTGCGTCATTTATTTCTGTAGTTGGTTTTATTTTGTCAAGGAACATGTTTTTCAATACTAACATTTCATTTGGTACTTGTCCATTTGAGTTTTCTTAAATATTCATCCCTTCTCAGTTCATTGTCTGCAAAGTAAGTTTTTATGACATTTTGCAAACTTTCGTTTGCAAGGTCATGTACAATAGGTTCTCTTCCTTCTCTCTCCCTAACTTTCTTTCTAAACTCTTCACCAAATATACCATCTCTATGGTTCTGTGTAGTTCTTTGAGATAAATGTTCTAGAACGTCAGGTGTTATATTTCCCTCAGCCATGTTCATTTCATACTGGTCCAAAATATCTGCATGTTTCATATCTTTCAATGGCATTAAAGCCGCGCTGAAATACCAGCTATATCTGGTTCACCATTCACTTCCATTGCGTCTACAACTTCTTGGAATTGTGGTTGTAAGTTTATGAACCACCTATCCGGATTAGCTTTATGACCCCATCTCATTGTAGTTCCATAGTCTGCAGAAACAAAGTAGGTTTGTTTCCATATTGGTTAGGTTCTGAATGAACTTTAAACAATGTTTCATTTCTATATGTTTTGTTGAAATTTAACCTTTTATTTTCACCGAGTTCAGCAAAAGATTGAACGTTATATGGTCGTAAGTAAAAAGGATTGTTGTATTTGCGTACATTTTCTTTCAGTTCTTCCATTCTATGCTGAATATTTTCATCTGATGTTGGAGTCTTTTGTATGTCGGCGAACATTTTTCGATATTCTTCTACTATGTCAGCTGAATTTTTCTTAGACTCTTGGAAAGATTCCATATTCCCCGCATACACTTGTTGAGGGTCAAGATTTTTCGGCTGTTCCAAATCTTCATCTAGTTCTGTGAAGTTAGTTTCCAAAGGAGGGACTTGTTCGTTTCCTTCAGGCTCTTCTAGCTGTTGTTGCTGAACTATTTCTTCCATGTCTGGTTGTATCTGAACTTCTTCCTGTGGAGTTTCTTGTACCTCATCTGCTGGCATTTCATATATTCCGAGACCGTTTTTAAAAAGTTCCCTATCTAAGTCATCCGGACTCATAAACCTTTCTTTTTTCGTTCCGTCTCTATTTTTTACGCGTTTCATGAAGAGAGTTGAATTATCATTTAGCTCTGACACCAAATATCTCGGAGTAAATTCATCCATGTCATTTGGATGATATGCTATTAAATCATATCCCTTAGCGAGCTTGTATTTTCCAGGTTTGAAATTATATCCCATTTGGTGCTGAACCATAAAGCTAAATAGGTTCGGGTCAGTATTTCCTTCCTTGAACTTTCTAATAGCTTCTTTATATCTGTCACTAAAGTCAAGAGTATCTGGGTAACCATAGTCTTCCTTAAGCATTTTTAAGAATTCTTGGTTTCCTTGTTCTCTACTTCTTTTATGTCCTTGCTCTGTTTGTGGTTGTTGTTGTGCAGGGTTTTGAACTGTTGGTTGTTGTGCAGTGTTTTGAACTGTTGGTTGCTGTGCAGTGTTTTGAACTGTTGGTTGTGGTGCTGGATTTTGAACTGTTGGTTGTGGTGCAGTGTTTTGAACTGTTGGTTTTGGTGCATGCCTGTGTCTGTGTCCATGTGACGATGTAAATGTTTTAGGTAGTCCTGGTGCAGGTGCTTCTCTTGGAGGGTTTGGTGGTATATAAGTTCCACCAGCTGGCACATATGTTCCATCTGCAGCATAATGTCCTACCTGACTTTTCGTTCTTAAGAAAGCATTTACTAGGTCTGTTTTGGTCTGTTGTAACTCTTTTTCTTGACTTTCCACAACAGTTGCTCTAACGGAGTCATAGGCACTTTGAACTGCCTGTCTCGTTGCTGCATCTGTTATTTTCGTCATATTTTGTGCTACTTCTCTTAACTCGTTGTCGAAACCTTCAGACTTCAGTTTCTTTCCAGATGAGAAGTCGTTCACTAGTTTCACCTTACTATGAAGAGCTTCGAAGGCGTTCTTAAAGTCAGCATTCATTAAAGCTTCATTTGAACTGTCTTCATCCGCTTGTATTTTTGTCCTTATTGACCCTATAAGTTGGGCTGCTTTGGCGTTGGCTTGGGCATCTAACCAGTCATTATTAGCTTTTATATATTCTGCGCTTTTCATTGCCTTTTGCATGGCTGCGTCGTTATTTTTACTTTCTTGTGCTAAGTTTTCATACTGTACGGTTTGGTTTTGCAACTGTAAAAGTTTTTCTGCCTTTACATTTGCTTCAACTTCTTTTTTATACTCATCGCTATCCATATATGTCTTCAGGGCTTTTTGTTTTATTTCTTCATCTTTCAGTACTTTATATTGAGTAGTATGGTTTTTCAAATTTATAACATCTTGTTCCATTTTTGCTACTTCTGCTGCTTTTTCTGACACTTTTTTCGCATATTCCTCTGTACTTAGTTCTTTCAGTTGTTCTTCTTTCTTCTTTTTCTCTACGTTTAACTCATTGAGTTTTCTTTGTGTGTCTGTCATATTCTAGTTTCTTTTCGTTTTCACTTATTTGTTTCTGTATGTCTATGTTTGACTTTTTGACATCTGTTATTTGATTTTTGAGTGAACTCAAATTCATTTGACTTTGAGGGTTATAAGCTGTTCCGTCTGCAGCTCCACCATAGCCTGCCATTTTCGCTAAAAGTGCCGCTCTTAAACCTCCACTCTGTGCACCAATAACTCGGTTTAAAAGCATAGGGTTGCTTGACATTTGTTGCAACATAGTGGGGTCATTCATCATTTGTTGTTGCAACTGTTGTTGTGGTGTCAGTTTTACTATTGGATGTTTCAATGCTCCCTTCCTCTTACGTATATTCTTACGTAGCTTACGTGGCATTTTAAGTGAAGTAAAAAACGGTTTTTGACAGATGTTTATATGACACTTTTTGTTCAGCACAAAAAACTACTCGGTCAAAGTGTTGTCAGTTTTGTAAAATAACCGTCCTATCTCATTCTATAAGGGGGAAAAGGCTTCTCAAAGTATACTTCCTTGGAACGCCTGTAACTTTTCCTGTAGCGACGATAGACCCTTACTTGTCCGGGCAAAGTTATACTATTTTGAGTGCTCTACAAAAAAGTCAACGGCTGGTCGGCTGGGGTTCGGTCCTCCTCTTGGGTCTTGGGCAAAATTTCTTAGGGGCTAGAGGGCGCAACGCGCCTGGAAGCCCCACTACCTTTTTTTTTTAAATATCTTTAATTTAGCAAATACAAGATGGCGGGACGTAAAATTTTGACGCAAAAAATTGAATAGATTCAATAATACGTTTCAAATTTATACCGTCCCATTCAAATTTGATTTTGAATGTATTTGATGACGCTCTCAAATCAGTAAACGAAGCTCTCTGATGATTTTTATTTAATAGAATACTATCTTCAGCTAAATTGATCATTTTAAGTTTAAAAAACTTCTTGAAAACAATTATTTCTGATGTTTTTTATTTTTTACAATAGGAAAACATAATGTATATTATTAGACAAATCATTTAAACTATTTTTTATTCTTAATTACTCTTATACGTTATTTTCTCAAAGATGAATTACTCGTACGAGTTAATAATGAATTAAATCTATAAAATAATATAAAACAATATTTAAAATTGTTATCTCCTTTAGGGATAAATCTAATTTTTTGCCAGCGATGAGAATAAGAATTGTTACTTGATTAATGTATTTAGATATTTTATTTGAATCAAATAATAATATCATTTATAAGAGAAAATGAAATAAGTTTAATAAATAATCCTCTTTATTTGAAATAGTGCATTTATCTAATTCATACTATATGTTAATTTTAATAACAACAAAATTATCACTTTTTAGTCTGACTATAATTCAAACATATTTCCAAAATCAAATGAAAATAAGTTCATTTTTAATTTTAAAACCAAATTCTGAATTAATTAAAATTTAAAGACCGTAAATCTGGAGCTTAATAGATATTTAATGAAACTAATTCTTTCATCAATCGTTTTTCTTTCGGGATAAAGATTCAAATTTTTTCTACTAAATATATTTTGTTATTAATGATGAAATCTATAATCCGTCTCATTTCATCAAATTCTAGTTACTTTGATTTATGAGAATTTAACTTTGGTTTATCGATTGAGATAAAATTACTAAACAACTTCAGGAATTAATAGATAAATTATTCCAAGTATTGTTAGAGAAGAAATATGATCATAAGCAAATTCGAAATAACAAAAATTTCTTTCGGCAAAATTATTGAATGAATCGTAAGCTTTGTTATTATTCATGGTCTCTAACAATTGTGGTTCTTCTTAAACAAATCAACTAAAAATTGATGTGATTGGTTAAATAATTAATGTTTACTAACATATTCCCGTAAAATTACACAAGATCGGATTCATGCAACAATTGGAGAAGGTGGTGTTTCAGCTATAATAGCTGGCTCTGAATAAACAGGCTTAATCTCACCTTCTGTATTAGCATTAGAATTATCTTTGAGTTTTTTAGCCCATTCAGCTGAATCAAAGAACTTCTGTCCATAACGCTTTTGCCCTTTGCCAAAATCAAGGAATTCTCTGTTTTTCTGCTCACTTGGAGATGATGACATGAAATAAAAATAATATAAAATTCTGAAATTTTTCTGTGCAAACCTCATCTTTTTTTATTCATGCATTGTAGATGCTTTGTTGCAAGATATGAAAGTTGGCTGATTGAGATTTTGAGAGGTAATATTCAATTATTTTACCGAATATCAAAATTTGATGCTCTTTCAAAATGAAAAATATTTGAAAATTCAATGTGTAGGATAGTTTAAATAGCCAAATTAACCTTATCGATTTATCGTTAAATTTAAATTCAAATTAAATATTAGATGATATTTATATTAATTATCATTGTATGAGTAGATTTGGTTCGGAGATGGAAAAATTTTGACACATGATCAAAATCTTTGTAAATCATTGCTAACTACAATGTATATAATTCGATTTTCGTTTTAAGTATTTGAAATTATCAAGGTTAAATTTTTTACCGGCGATTAATTTATCAGAAAATCTTTAAACAATGAAATATCATTTACATATAATATGTATATTTCATATTTCTGATTTATTCTATTTGTAATTTTATTATCACAAATCCTGAAATTGATGCTAAGTGAAGTTAATTCAATGAATGAGTGCACATGTAATATATCATTTCAAAGTAATTTGTAAAATATTTTGATAAAATTAAATATTTTTGAAATTACACCATACAACATTGTTTAATAATACATTCTTATATTCTCCAAAACCCGAATCATTTTATACTTTAATTACAACAAAATTGATAATAGTTTTAATTCTTCAAATCCTTCATTATTCCTGCATCCGTTGATCTGTTCCGTCAACCCATAATAAAACCTTGGAATGATTTTTTCAATGAAAATACATAAGAATTGATTTAAGTAGATCAATAATAATGTTGGTTTGAACATTACCATTTGCAAACGATTCCATTTCCATTTTGTATTTCATCAATTTCGAACTAATTTTTATCGTAAAATTCGAAATTGATACAAAATATTTTCTATTAATAGTAAATTCATATTTCGATAACTTTAATTTCAGAGTTCACAATTTTCTTCTCAATTTATAATTTAACACAAATATTCAATACTGTTTTCGATTAAAGTAAAATTAACTGTTGCGTCATATCAATGTGCTTTATATTTTATCATAAAAATCGAATTTCATCATAGATTTTAATGTCACCTCACATGCTATCAAAAAATTATTCAATTTTTCTGATAAGAAAAAAAATCATATTAGAAGTGATGTCTTCTCCTTCTGTCGTTTTAGATCTCGGTACATTTATGTGCAATATTGGCTTTGCAGGTGAAGAGGAGCCAAAAATTTCATTCCACACCGAAGATGTTGCAGACGGTGCTTTCAAGAATAGAGTCATTGTAGACTTAGAAAAGTGGAAGCAACTTGTATCGTATTGTTACAAGGCTCTTAATGTTGAGCCATCTGCACAACCACTTTTCCTTGTTGACTCTACGACCTTTAATTTGGAGAAAAGAAAAGCAGTGGCCAAATACTTATTCGAAGATCTTAAAATCCCATCATTGTTCATTGCATCTTCATTCACATATGCAGGATTCTTAATCCAAAAGACAAACTGCCTTATCGTTGATATGGGTGAGGCAGCCACTGAGATCTGTGCATTCTGTGAGGACAATGTTAATAGAGCCACATTGTTAAGATCAGCTGTAACAGGCCGCACCATTTCTGAATACCTTGCAAGGATCTTAAACTGCAATGATCACAAGACAATTTGGAATGTCAAATCGAACCTCCTCGAGTGCCCACACTTCGCAGAAATTGATGCTAAAATGGAAGAAGCAGTCACCAACAGAGTCAATTACAATGGCATCAATTTCGGACCTGAAAGAGTAATCGCAAGTACAGCATACTTGCGCCCATTCTTCCTTGAGATCGATAGCGACGGATTGGCTGTTGATATCAAAGAAGTCATTGTTAAATGCCCGATCAATTTCAGAAAAGATATGTGGACACACGTTGTCTTAATCGGAGGATCAGCACAAATCAAGGGATTCGCTACTGCATTACAAGAGGCCCTTGTTGAGCTTGCTCCCGAAGCAGTCAAACCAGAAGTTCACGTATCTGTAGCAGAGAAGCCACAAATTGCAAGCTGGATCGGTGCTTCTGCATATGCTGCTGCTAAGCCAAATGCTGCTGTCTTGAAGTCCGATTATGATACTGAAGGAGAAAAAATCGTCCAGGATCATTTAATGAATTAATCAATTTATTACTTCACTAGTCTTTTTTCATTTTAAAATATCCTTCTTCCTTTGAGTTGAAGTTTTTTGTATCTTTTTTTCTTCATCTTTCACTATCGAATTGAATTCCTTTGATTTTGAAACGAATCTGTTTAAACATATTCTAATTTTGTCCTTTGGCATGATATGTTTTTGCATAAATCGAAATTGGATGATTCAATATTTGAACATTAAATTATTAAGCAAATAAACCAAAAAATACAAATTAATATTATTTAGCCTTATACTGTTGCTATAAAAATGTATTTAATTATGAGCTAAAACTATTTTTTATTCATACAATTTATCAACCGAATACGTTCAATTTTTCTGCTATTTTCTGTAATTCCGCGGAATAATTAATAAACAAAAATTAAATAAGCATATCATTATTTCTATATCCAATTGTTACAATAAAAATTTTAACTGGTCATATCCAATTCAAAAAATTTAATACAATTCAAAGAAATAAATCCACATCAAGAATTAAGATTGTTCAATATCATAATTTGGAAGATTAATAGTAATTAAGGATGTCAATTTGGAAGAAAAGTGAGAAAATTCCTAAAATGTTAAAAATGAATTTTCCAAACGTGCTTTTTTATCTCATTTTTTTGATTTTGAAAAAAATTTGGAGAGAAGAACTCTTCGTTTTTGAATTTTGTCACGATGGGTTTAAAGTATATTAGACACATGTATTGATATTACTATTTTTGTATATTTTGAGAGAAAATGCCTAAAAAGTGAGAAAATCTGAGACGGTTTGAGAAAATATATAAACTATTGAAAATTTGAATTAAACTTCTAATTTGGAAAAAAGAAATTTGGAAAGAAGAAAATTCAAAAATCGAGATTTAGACTCAGCATCAAATGGAGAACAAAATGTTTCTTCATATGAAGGAAAAAAATTTTCTTGTGAAGAAATAGAGTTTTTAAAATTTTATTGTATGTAATGAAATAAACAAATATTAAAATTATTTTTTGATAACAAGAAAATTCCCAATAGAAAATATTTGAGAGAAAGAAAAAAAGAAAATTGAAAAATATTACTCTCCTTTATATTTCATGAGATTTTAAATTTATTCTCATAAAATTGACAATTTTATACGTTTAGATGAAAATAAGTGATTTTGGTTGAAATAGAAATTATTATTTGCTTACAGCTATCAAATAGATTTTTGCTATTTTGATTAAAATTTGTTAATCAAATTAATAAATTTTTTCTAAATATCTTAAATATCTGGATCACTCACATATACAATGAATTGAACGATAAAAATAATACAAACTCAACTAAGTTTCCTGTCTTTCAACTAAAAAAAATTATGCAAATTAAATTAAATTGTTTAATCAAATATAAAACAAAGATGAAGTAATTACAGTTATCATAAACTTTATGAATAACTCTGTAATTGGTTCAGATTTTCGTAAAAATATTTTTATTAATATCGATAAGAATACGTTTACCTACTATCACAACATATCGATAAACAAGAGTAGAGTGATTTTTATCATCGAAATTTTTTAAAAGCTGTAAGCTGGAAGGAAAAATCTTGTTTTTTCTGAGTTAGTTGTAGAACTATTGATGCACGAGTTATCATTGTGATGTAGAAGGATGTCAATGTACTGACTGAAGGATATGAAGTGAATTGAATTTCATTGAATTTCAATTTGATCAAAATTTGTTGAAATGATATGAATGTGTCAACATCTGTATCACTCTCTTTCACTCCTTCCCTATTCTTTCGAGAACGAAGCTAGCTCAGCTTTCGCTGAGCGAATTGACACTTTTGATGCCCTAAACGTACATGCTCTCAAATTTATCGAAAAAAATTATACCACCTAAACTAGTATATTCTTATTTTAAATATGATATTATCCTTAGAATCCACACTAGAATATATTTAAATCAACTTTTAAAAAAGTTCGAATCCTGCGCGTCTCACTTTTTAAATTTTCCAAAAGGAAAATTATATTCTCCTAAAATGAAAACAATTTTCCGAATTGACATCCTTATAGTAATACATAAAACTCATTGAAATTTAGCCCGTGAAATTGGTGTTTCAATTTTTCATTGTTGACAAAAATTTGAAAGAATTTCAGAAGAAATTTTAACAGTACCACTTTTCTTCGAACGATTTTTTTTCACATAATGGTTAATTTCTGTCGCAAAGAGATTATATATGGATTAATCATTATGACCGGATCGATGAATTTTGGATACACGGTAGGTTTTCCCTCGCCAATGATTCCATTTTTCAACGAAGTCTGGGGAATAAAAAAATTAGCCACAACTTGGTTCAACGCAATACTTCCATTACTTGCAATAATTGGTCCTTTCATTACAACCTTCATGCTTTCATATATGGGAAGGAGATTAGTTTTCTGCATTTTACAGATTTTATCCGCAATTTTATATTTAGTTATGCTAGCCTCAAATAAGAAAAATTTTTGGATTATGATATTTATGAGAGCCTTGTTAGGCCTTGTTATTGGCGGAGTTACTTCGATTGCCCCGACAATGTTGATTGAAACTGCTCCTGAAGGGCTTACTGGATTTTTCGGTAACTTAAATCAAGTCGGTTGCGTTATTGGTATCGTTATCATGTATTTACAAGGAAATTGGACCGTAAACGTTACGAAAGGATTTTCGAAATGGTGGTCACTAGAAATTACATGCGCAACTCTTAATATTATTGGAGCAGCATTGATATGGCTTTGTCCGGAGACATCTTCTCTTTCAAAAAACGACGTTAAAAAAGATAAACCTCGAGAAAGCATTTGCCAAAAGAAATACATAGGTAAAATCTTTGTAGGCATAGGAATGATGTTTATACAGCAGTTTTCTGGTATCAACGCCATTCTTACAAATCTTGATGATAATTTTCGAGAAGTTGGAGTTCCTCTTGACTCAGGAGTTGCATCAGCAATATCTGTAGCTGCCCAATTCATTGCTGTTTTTGTCTCAGGATTTCTTGTTGACAAACTTGGTCGTCGACCATTATTTTGTTTATCTTGCTTCGGTTGTGGAGCAACACTTGTTATATTTGCACTTAATTACAAATACAATTGGGCAAATTGGATCTCAATTGTTGTAATTTTTATTTATATGTTCTTCTTTGGTGCTGCATTAGGTCCAGTTCCATGGTTTATAATCCCTGAGCTATTTCCTATTACTGTACGATCGATTGGTGCATCAATTATATCAATGGCCAATCAATTATTTTCTTTTACCGTTATTTTTATATTTCCATGGCTGAAAGGAACAACAGATGATCAAGGAAATATCACATCAGGAATAGGATTAACATGGACATCAATTGTCTTCGCAATTATCACGTTTCTCGGTGGAATTTTTGGATTCTTCTTTATAATTGAACCAAAAATCACTGCAGAACCACTTGATAACGAAGATAATCAAGAAGGCCAAAATGGAGAAGAGACCTCTACCCAAATTAATGTGCAAAATGTTCCAGAACACGAAGATCCTTAATTTACTTTATATTATTGTTTGTATGTATAATTATAGTAAATCTGCTAATTGTTATAGCATAACCTTTCAGCTTTTTATGCAGAAACAACTAAATCTTTAGGCTTTTTAGATTCAAATTTGTGTCTTCAAGCTCCAAAGTGCATAATTTCATCAGTAAACTGCTAGCATTACTATGTAAATGATTGTTATCATTTCCTTTTTTATTGTTATCGGTTAAAAAAATCATTGGATTGATATCGGGTCACAAATAGCTGACCAAGCTTTTGCCAATATATAATATAATGATAAACCAAGCAATAGCGCTCATCTTGTAAACTGATTGAATGAAGTGATCTAATTTGAGAAAAATTCTCGAGATCATCATGTTATTCTCTGTTAAAGATTCATTCTAATAAATACAAAAGTAATTTAGTGTATTCAAGGTATTTTCAGCGCGAGCGTTTTTATGCATTCAAAAATTTGAAATAATTTTGATTCTTTTCAATTCCAACCGTTTACAATTGAAAATATTCCGACTGCTTATTCCATATTATGAATGGGTAAAACTATGTTTCTAACTCGACTTTTAAAAATAAAAGTGACAAGATTTTGCACTTTTTTGGAGGATGTGCGCAATTTATTACACTGATTCACAAAAAGATCCATGCATTGGTGACTGCATAGGAAACTATGTTCTAGATAGTTTAATCGAAAATACAATGAATTCTATCATTTATTCGTGTACTAATATTACGACAAAAAAATCCTACGCGATCAAAATGGTAAAGATATGGGAAAGTGCATTAAAACGTGTCGAGGAAGAAACTTAAGTTTTAAAGTCGATCGATTGTACTTATATTGCTGCTCCTTCAGAAATATTCAATTATCCTCCATATAGATGCATTGTATTACCACTTGCGAAATCTGATGCTTGGAAATTATATGTAAATTCACCATATAAGCGTTTGGATGAACAAACGTGCCGTGGAATTTGCAAAACGATTCTTCTTGCATTACAGTACTTGCATACAAGAAATATTATACATCTTGATATCAAACCAGATAATTTTCTGATATTTGATGAAAATGCAAAAGATGTATTATTAGCAGACTTCGGGTTCGCCCATAAGGTCGAAGAGAGAAAGCTTTCAACAGAATTCAATGGAACCCTCACGTTTGCGGCTCCAGAAATCATTACTGGAACTCAATACGAAAAAAGTGTCGATATCTGGTCACTTGGAGTGTCCATGTACGTTTTATTGAGTGGAATGTTTCCATTTCCGGTTACTCCTGAAATAGTTCTCCGTGATTCCATCAAAAATGGAAGATATTTCTTCCCAGCTAGCAGATGGGCGTCAGTATCGAGGGATGCAAGAGATCTGATAAGCCATATGATCGTTGTCAAGCCTGGAAATCGATTTACCGTTGAACAGTGTCTTGAGCACAAATGGTTCAAAATTGATGGTGTTGAACGTTCGCATACATGGCATAGTTTACCAAGTATCGTTCCAAAGTCAATGATCCCTAATACACAATAATTTTATTTTTATATATAACTATTTTCATTTCAATATCAATTCAATTTATTCGACTTGTATTGTTACATATAATTATTTTGTTATTTTGAACTTCTAAATAAATTAATTTCAGAATATTTTTAAATTTTAAGTTTGCTTTGTTAATACACCGAGTAAACTTATGTCTTCATCCTTTATGTTCTTTCTATCCATTTGTTAGCAGATTAAAATTATATTCATACATTCAATTTCTTAACATTAGCTCTAATATTTGCATAAATCCAAATTTAGGCTAATTGAAATAAGTTATACTGTGAATATATTATAATTAAATGTATGTAATAAGGTGTTGGGTAAAAAATTAAATTGAGAGGAATTTTTTGAATTCATTTTTTTGATTGGTCATCTCAAACACTCTAATTTTTTGAGAAATGAATGAATTCATGGAAATTAGGATCGGATGTTGGAGATTTAAACCAATATTCCAGCAATGGCACAGTTGCCACCTTTAATTATCCTTGCAGTACTACCTACTCTTGCACTTATTACCACACAACTCTTCCACCCGGTTATTATAAAGTTGAAGTATGGGGTGCAGAATGTGGTAGCACAATCTATGAAAGCAATCCTTACACCCATGCAAACAAGAAGGGTGGATATTCCGTCGGTGTCCTAAAACTAAACAAAACATCCGAGGTTTACGTTTTCATTGGCGGCAAAGGCCAAGACGCAATACATTCGTTCAATGGAAATGCTCGAGGTGGCTACAATGGTGGTGGTGATGCCATTCCAGAGACCACTGATAATGATCACGGAGGTGCTGGTGGTGGTGCCACTGACATCAGAGTTGACGGAATCGAAATCGGAAACAGAAAGATTGTTGCAGGCGGTGCGGGTGGACTTGGCCCTGATCTAAAATATAGTGGTGGCTTAACTCCAGAATCATGGGGAGGAGGCCTCGAAGCTGGTCGTCCAATTGCAAACGGACCAGCATATGGATCTCCTGCCACCCAATCTCAAGGAAATTCCAACGGAATAGGTTCAGCAGGTGTATTTCATACTTATGGAATCACAGGTGGTGGTGGTGGCTATTTCGGCGGAACTCTACCACCACATGTATTTAATGGGCGGGCAGGTTGTGCAGGAGGTGGCTCAGGATACATCGGAAAAGTTATTTCATTCAATGGAATTGTTGCAAAGTCAATTCCAGGAAACCAACAGATGCCATCTCCAGACAGCGACACTCAAACTATCGGCCGATCAGGTAATGGTGCCGCACGAATCACCATCCTTGGTTATTTTCTCCAAAAGACGAACTCCCTCAAAGACACATACGACCCTAACTCCACAATTTCTATCGATTTCACACTTAATACATTAGGAACAGAAGAAGTTGCCACCATCAAACGATCATTAAACAACACAAACCTCGAAGAAACAATTCTCACCCATATCGATGATGGTAATGAATACAGTTTCACAGATTCATTTCGATTACCAGAAGAAACAGGATTTCTGAAAATTTCATACACAGTTACTTCCAAATCAGGAACAACCACATCTACATTTTTCGACATTCTTGTTAATAAAAAACCAGAAATCAATGTAATAGGAAGACCTAAGGAAAGATATATTCCAAGCGAGAAAACATTTGTAGAAATTGAAGTAATAGATGATACTTATGTCAATGTTTCGATCAAAGATAAATCGAATATTCTTTATTCAACGAAAATAATAAGTTGTTATAATACTAAAACTCGAACAAGGTTAGAATTTAATGTAGGTCCATTTGCCATCGGTTCTAAACATAATATATCTATCTCAGGTGTTGACGAGTATGGATTTAATTCGGTAATATCATATTTCGAATATGTTATTGTTGATAACGTCGCACCAGATTTGAGAGTTGATTCACAATTAACATATCATTTTTCAGGTAAAGACAAAGTTAAAATCAATGGTGAATTCCATGACAAAGACGGCAGTGCCACAATCACAATATATTCTAAGATCGATAACTCTCTTCAAGTCAAACATGGTGTTCACACCATTTCAGACATTAACTGGCATGTTTTCAATATCACACGTGATATGTTTGATGTTCGCAAAGGAATTCACACATTAACAGTTTTTGCCGTTGATGACAATTATGCAGAATCAAACCCATATGTTCATACATTTGCCTTATTCAGTGGATACTACATATTGAACAGGCCGTCATGCTATTGTGTTTTTAGAGGCACATGGATTCTTTCCATGTATTCTCCATTATCTACTGAATTAACCTGATATAAATAAAAAAAAAATAATCAATCCAAAATTTTTCGAAACTTTTTCAATATGTTTAATATTAAAACACTCTCAAAACTTGTAGAAAATAGATGTTATATGTGATTTTGAGCATGGTTGATCATAATTTGGCACAAATTCAATAATTAAATGTGAAAATGTTTTGATTAAATGATTATATAGTTTTATACAGTATGTTATTGAGTTGTCTATCGAATATAGAAATGGATGGCAAGAAATATATTAAATGAAGATAATTTCTCTTTATTGATGGTTTTTGATGTAATGATTAGAAACGTTTGATTATGTCTGTGAATTGTTCCATACGTATACAAGAATGTATAATAACTTCATCCACATTTTTATTCAATTGTAAATTGCATAATTTCTAAGTATCTGAAATTCCAAAATTTGTGTGATGTGCATATGTTTTGGATTAGTCTCTTCAATTTGAAAAAATCATAAAAAATATATTTTATCATTTCTTGTATTAATAATATTAATAATATATTAAGGTTTACTTGCTGTAAGTATTATGAAATGAATACGGAGATAAACGAATAGATATATGAATTTGAATTATAAAGAATATTATTAGGGCATGAAGGATCTGTAAAGTAATTTTTACCTAATTTAACCCAAAGACTAACATAATTAACTCCTTGCCTAATAGCAGGAATGGTAGTCCAGCCCTCCATTTCTTTGGTCTGGCCAAGTGCATAAAACCAAGATCCGCTACCAGGACAGCCATCTAAGAGTACATTGGAGTGATTAGATCTTACGAGCCCTCCCCAATCTGAGTTTTTGGCTTGGCAATCGCTACAATTGTAACCAGATACAAAATAGTGACCTCCTGGCTTTTCTATTTCAAAAAGGGGGTTATTGTTCTGTTGCCATATATTATATAAATTTAACTCTTCATATACAAGTGCAAAAGTAAATTTTCCTTCCGAATCGCGATGCTTTCTACCAAGTTGTTTGATTATAGAATATCTTCCTGGTAAATCACATGATTCAGCTTGTTTAAGGTCATCGAAGAAATTTCGATTTGAAATATTGTGAAAAAAGACTAGTTGAAACAGTTCATTTTTAATAAATCCAAACTTATACCTGTATACTTGATATTGGTTCTGGACAATCATAACAAACTACATTCAATCTCAAGAAAAAATTCCATAATTTCTTTTTTCCACTTTTTTCATGTGACCGAAAAGACTAATTATCTATTCAAAATTGAATGAATTCAATAATTAAGGCAATGAGAATCAAAAAAAGACCTGGTGTAACCATAGCAAACATTTTCTGCAATTTTTTATGATATGTTCAGGGGATCATTCATTCAATTCTTGGAGATCATTTTTCTTTCAAAAATCTTTATTTTGATGTTCCTCTTCCTTTTAGTTGCATCAATATTCGCTCTCGGATCATCAACTAATAGCGTCCCTACACGTTCCCCATATCCAACAGCAAAGTCAGGTTCTCCAAGTTTAGCACTTGTTTGCTTCTCAGTATTTGGAGCTATATTATTCATTGTTATCTCGGTTCTCTTCCTTTGCTTTAAGAAGAGTGATGACAACATCCCAGAAAAAATGTCTCAGCCATTAATTCAAAATGAAAATACCCAAAATAATAACTAACGGAGCTCCTTCGGTATAGAGATAATAGAACATTTGTGCAATAAATTGTAATACTTTTAATATTATGAAACTGATTTTATTTCCAAAAAAAGTGTCACTTTATTTATTAGTTCCTGGTTTAACTAACTGTTAAACCAGAACTACTTTTATAAGTGGCAAGATATAGTAATAAATTTTTATAATTGTTGCCTCCTTCAAATCTTCATTTTTCCGCTTAATTTACAGATATATCTTCCTTCGCAACTGATCCATGAATTCTTTTTTCGAAATATTAAAGAATTAGCAAAATGTCTTAATACTGCTAAGGCATATAGTACCAAATTGATGAAATTTATTTCAAAGTAAAATCAAAACAGAAAAGTCAAGTAGAAACCTCATAATTGATGATTGTTCTACCAAAAATCATTACAACCATAGCTGTCATAGATTCGACCAAACCTGATATTTTCGACAGGTGTTGACCGCCTTCTATCACTATTCATAAACCGAATATGCTTTAACCTTTAGAAAGCATTTCTTTACGAACTAATTGTCCTCTTTACTGCATTTTTCTCTCTTTTGTACTTCAGGAAGAGATAGTAGAAACACATTGTTGAGTAAAGATATTATTCTTTGCGATTAAAACACGGCCCACTTCAATATAATTGTAATTTGTTGATATAAATCCTTAATATTTTTATAATGATTGAATTATTACATAAACTCTATGAAGCACTTAATTTATATTGATATTGAATTGTATATTTCATGTATTACATGTTTATTTTTTGATTTCTTTTATGATTTTCAAATATATTGTATTTTTTTACTGTAAATATCTTAATCACAAAGTATAAATTGTAATAAATTAAAATTTGAATATTTTTGTCGTTTTAAAATCTTTTGATTATGCGTTATTCAATCAAAAATTAAAAATAAAGAAAATTTTTAACCTCAATTTTCCAAAAAAAATTACAAAATACAAAAAATGAAAGTTAAAATAACAAGTTTCCATTAACATTTCGAGAAACCAAAAAAAATTTGGAAAACTCAAGCAAGGATAGTTGACATCTATGACCTCAACGCAACAGTTACCTATCGAAAAAATCGCTAAATTCAGATTTTCAAATATCGCGTTGCTTCATTTTCTCAACAAAGGTTACCCATAGTCAACTTTTTTCATTTTACATTGTAAGTACTGTTTATAAGCAATGAATAATAGTTTAGCCATTTTATATTGAATATTTAGGTCCAAAGGAGCCATAGAATTAACATATACAAGATAAAGAATCTAACCTTACAATTTTTAGAAGAAATCATTAATTCAAATCTAGTTATGTCGATTTAATTTTTGATTTCGAAAATTAATTTGACAGTACTCTAACGAAAAAGAGATATCACAATGACACCAAAGCATACAGACAGAAACTAAAAACGTTACAGAAAACTACCTATAAAATAAACTTCTTTTATTAAATAGTACAATCCAGCTCTTTTAGAGAAATTGTATTATCTTATTTCATGATTATATCAATTTTTATTACTCAGAATATCATACTCTGTTTTAACTTAGTTCGAATTGTATATAACTCAAAATCAAACGGAAGTTATTCTATAATACCATATACAAAATTACTTCTGTTCCTATAATGAATCGATTGAGAAGCGCTATGGCCGGCTCTGCTGTAAGAGTCAATGTTTCTCCAATCTTTATGACTGAAAAAAAAATATTTTTTTTTCAAATTATTCCTTCATTTGTCTGACTAATTTGAATAGATCAGGGTCGAGAAGCTCCAACTTTACACGACATTGGGAGGCCAAATGGCTAATTAATATTATTGCTTGTTCGTAAGATGCTCATATTTTAAAATATGCCGAAATAGATCTAAAAATTTCATTACAATTCAGCTCACACCCAACGACTAATCGATTGTCTATCGGTCTTTTTCATTACTTTTGTTTGTTGTCTTTTTCCTACGCGATCTAATTCATATCACTTTAAAGAATCTCCATCCAGACCAAGCAAGTTTTTTGAATCAGATATCAAATAATTGAATGAGTGATTTTTGATCTGAATATTCTTACTTTCAAAAAAATGATTTAATTTATGCTAATAATATAATCAATTCTAAGAGACAATCATTGAGAAAAAAGTTCAGTGCAACAACTATTCTACAAACACAACTTTTTAGAGTATTTTTGAAAAACATTTTGATAATTCTACTTACAACCAGCTTGAGAAAGAAAAATTACGATGTATAACTGAATGAAATTACAATCACATAAGAGAACTTTTTTTCCTTTCTCAATAATTTCAAAAGAATTTGTAAATGAGCATCTATACATTGATATTAGAAAGTTAAGTACTCATATGTGAATAATCACAAAACTGTTGAAAAGCAATAAAATGTAATAAATTTGTGTTCATTGTGAGTAAGACATAATGATACAGACCTACTCAAATATCATATTTAGATATTATGAGATCAATATTAAGATTGATTTTCTGATGTTATCTAACATTTTGCGTTTATGTATTAAAATTAGTAACATTCTAAATATTTAGGTCTTTCTCAGGCAATTCGCCAAGAGTTTTTTGAAATTTAAATTAAAATTACACATTGTCATGTTTTTATTTTGTAATCTGATTAAACTAGATCCATTTTAAGAGTAGATCAGTCCCAATAAAATATTCAGAAAGTAAACAATATCAAATATTTCAATTATTTTTCAATAGAAGATAATTCTGAAAGTATTTTTGACGGTTATTTTTTCCTCCAAAAAATTCAAAAACATTATATTAAATTATATGATGAATAAAACTAAGTCAATCAAATCTGTTTATTGCGTAAAATCAGCAAAACCTATTTCATTGTGTAACTATGATCAGTCCAATAATTATTCAATTCTCAGATGATAAAACTAAACAAACGTGCTTTTTTTTATCAAAGTTCTTTCAAATTCTTAAAAGTCATTTTTACTTCACGCAAAAACTTGAGAAAATTATTCTAAAAATAGGATTTGCATACCCAATGAATAATAATAAAGAGCCAAACCGCTGGCGTTTCAAAATTGTTAAAGTAAATTCGATAACCTCACAAATAAATTCTATTAAAACGCGCGCCATGTTGTTTCATTGTATCATATATTTACTCTACAAATAATAAAATTACATAGTTTATTTTCATTGTCCGAATTTGAATAGATTGGTTTATTTTCATTTTACTCCAACCAGAATGAGCCGCGTATACATTAACATACAAGGATTTACCTTCACTGATAAGAAATATGATACTAACTGCACAATGGTCCTCAATGTTATTGATAGCAAGCAAGGAGCCACAAAAAAGTTTACATTTAACGGCTCTGAATCTTCTAAGATAAAGAAGTCATACAATATTGGCGTAAGAGATCCAAATGGTGATCAGACTTTCACAATTGAACTTTACCGCAAGAAGTTTTTTGCCGAGGAATTGATTGGCAAAGTTGAAATCCCTATTTCATTCCTTGAAGTTGATAAACTTACTTACAATATGCTTGAACTCATAAGCGAAAATAATTTCAAGCATCCCGTTGTTCTCCGTGTTGTTCTTCACTTGGCTTCCCAGTGCCATGCTTTCAAATGCCCAGTTGCTATTCCAAAGCTTAAGCAGTTCGATATTACCGGATTTGCTAGGCAGCATGTCAAGAAGCATGAAAACAGAATGAGCATGGAAACAAAACTCCTTAAGTATTCTTACTCATTCTAATTTGTACTATTTTCGCGTTTTTTTGTTTGTTATCATGCAAAATGCTTTTTAAAGAATCTAGATATTTTTGTAGAACTCAGTTCAAAATCAAAATAATGCGTCATATGAAAAGTAATCTGTAGGTTCTAATTTTATTAGCCATGAATGTTTTTGATGATTCTACAAGTCCGGTTATATTTCACTGTATATGCTTATTTATTGAATACAAATGGATCATCGATTTTAGCATATGCCGCATACATGGATTTTACACACTGTTTAGAATTACTCTATAAAGTCATTTTATCATTTTTTCATATTTTTGTCATGGCTATATTTGATATTGTACTTAATTTTATAGTTTCAATGCAAACTCATTGGTAGATTTAATACACGAAATGGGAGAATTCGTTTACATAAAAACAGTGGTCAAAAACGATTTCTGAATAAATTCGATGATACATAATTTATTAAACAAATAAAAATCCAAACATGAATAAGAAAACAAATATCTAATTAATTAAAAGAAGATAGGTTGTGATCCTGAAAGTCTAGTATTCATTGTTGCTGTTAAGGCAATTCTCTCGGACTTAAGCTGCTGTGACTTATTGAGATCATACTGTGGGAGCTTAGGCAAGGCCTTAGGGCAATTGTAAGCAAGGGATTTATCGCTTGACAAATGGATTACGCATCTTAAAAGGATTGGAGATTCTGATTTATCGTTCTTGTTTGTAAGTTCAAGAACGTTTAAGGACTTTGTATTGGCCTCAATTTCACAAACTGGGATTGTTAATGTTCCAATCAATTCGTTTGAGAAGATATGCTTCTTATATAAGTTGATTGTAAGTGTTTCATTCTCACCAGTTATTTTCATATTGAAAGACTTTTTAATATTGGCACAATCTGCTCCTCTGAAGCTGAATTGCTTCATGGCGCCATTACGGTCATGGGTAATTGTGAAAAACATGCTGCTAGAAGTATCATTCTTCTTGTCTGGGATAACAAAACCATTGATATGGATGTACAAGACACTCATTAGGAATAATGCAAATTTTTGATAAGATTCAATTTTACTTCTTTGAATTTGTTTTGTTGCAGACATAATATTATAAACAATATGAACATAATTTATCATTCATATTACATTTGTGAAGTTTCACAATTTATTGAATCCTAATTTAAATCAATGGGAATTTCGAGTTAAAAATGTTTAATTAGAAAATCTGAAACAGCAACTAATTTTACTTTCCAGAAGTATTCAAAAGTTGATTTGTTTTTTTCAAATAAGGATGTAATACCTAATAGGAATTGATGATTAAAATTTGACTGAGCTATCAATTTGTTAATTTTCACAATCACATTGAATTTATTGAGTGAATAATTCCTATTGTAAATGTTGTTTTGAATAATCTCTCAAACCTCTCTGTTGTTTTTATAGGAAATAGAATTATTTACATAATCAATAATTATTCACTAACAATAAAAATTTTTCACAAAAAATTATTTTTCTGATGATTTATAGTTCGAAATACTTTAATAACATCATTTACTTACACTGAATTTACAAAAATAAACTCTTAACTTTTAGATCATAACTGTAATTTTTGATCGCAATTTTTCAAATCAGCATCCAGACCTCTTAAATAAAAATATTAAAATTTTGGAAACATTTGTTACTATTTTTCTTAATATAACCTATATTAACACATTTTTATATCCATTGGCATAGTTGTTACGGGCATCTTCTAAATGATTGGTATTTTAATACCAGCAAATAATGATACATTCTTTGCGCTTATATAGTCGTTTCTATTCATAAAATTCTCATACTTTTCCATATTTTTGACATCTAAATAGTAATATAGAGGACAATAATACTTAGAATAAATCGTTTATATGTATACGAGATCAACTATCTATACAACATTCTACCATTTCAATATAAAACTATATATGAGATTGTTTCTGCATATTAGAAGAAGTTTTAGCGATCAAAAATAAACAATTTGCTTAAAAATATTTATTAGAAAAATATCGTTCATTAATCAACTCCAAAAGAAAAACAGAACTATTGATTTTAGATCAAAAAGTTTTCAAGTTCTCATAAAAAGTGACAATTTTTAAAGAGTTTCATTTCCTAGTTCAAGTACTTATTCGATTCAAGAATTTGCAAACGGAATCACTCGTCTAGATACATTGACACCTTTTCACGTTTAGTTTTCAAGAAAAAACTAACTTTATAAGATGAATTCTACAAAACTGCAAAACAGACATATGAAATTGTAAAACTGGAGTTACCACAAACACTGGTGATACATGTTTTACAATTTCATCCAAATGAAAAATAATCTACAAAAAATTTAAGTTTTTTTCAGCTCTGACCAGTTTTAGACATCATAACTACACATTCACATTCCAAAGTAATACAATTTATCAGCAAAAAATAATTATACTTTCCTTATTTTCTTATTTTTAAAATATATCATGACTTAACTCGTTCAAGACTCCAAATAATCAGCGAATATGATTTTTATGACTAAGATCATTCAGTTCAGTCTTTGTCCATAGAATTTACAAAATATTCAAAGACTTTTTTAAAATAAATTTGAAATTTAATCAATCAACATACCACCAACAGTACGAAAATAGAAATAATTAGAAATTCAACTGATTCTAACGTTAGAGAACTACTACTATGTCCCAAGTGAAGATGCCTTTTACTATTTCATGGGAACTCAATACAGACGAATGAATGTCTTAAGACAGTATAACAAAGATTATATAAACATTACAGATGTAGAAGGAAGAAGAACAAAGCTGTCTATTGCAAAGTTTAAGAGAGACAATGGTTATACATAAATGACAAAAATATATGACCTCATTATTTTTATCACGAATGACCTCATTGCTGACAAAAATAAATGACCTCAGAACTTCAACTTACGAATAAAGCTTGTTTTAGTCGTTATTGAGAAGTTAAACTTCTCTTCAAATGCAGGTGTAGCAGACTTACATAAGTCAAATCCAATCTCTTGACCGTCATAAAGTGCTTTGTAAAGTTTCATTAAACTGAACTCAGAGTCTTTGTCATATGTTCCAACAGGTATGTGAATGTTCTTATCTTCATTGTAATAGCATTGTATAGCTTCAGGAAACATTTCATTAGCTGTTAAAGCAAGAACGTCTTGTTTTACACCTTTACAACGTGCATGAAATGCAACTTCATTTAAATCGTTAGTGAGTAAGTCTATGTAGGTCTTCTTTCCACAAAATATTGACTTGTATGCTAAACTTTGTTTTCCAGGTGTTATTTCTGCGAAGTCAGAATAGAACTGACCTAATGTTTTACCAATAAGTTCTCTACCGTATCTCTTCTTAAACTCTGCTGCAAGCTTTAGTATGTCTTCATTGAAAATATGCATGCTATCACAGTCCTGGTAAAATATTTGAAGTCCCATATCTTCAGCAGTACAGAATACTTCACACATTATTCTCTTCGACATAGATAGAATGTTAACACCAAGTGGACAGAAGTTAAAGTGTCTGCAAATGCTTTTCGTTAGCTTGAAAATAGTTTTATCTGAGCCATCCAAACCTTCGAACTTCACTATATGGTTGTAGTTTCTGATGGCATATCTTATAGCATCTTTGTCATTTACTATGGTTATTTTTGACTCAATAGGAGATAGAATAGTTTTGCCATAAATACTGTTCAGAATGAGCTTTATATTTTCTTGTAGCGGATTTTCTTCCTTCTTATACTTTAATCTCAATTCAAATAATTTCTTTACTTCATCTCTTATTCTAATATCTCTGTTTCCATCGTAATAGTATCCTTGCAACACTTCACATTTGACACCTTGATATTTTATGAGGTCTTGTAATGTTATATGGTCAACATACATGAGACAGCAAGTGTTTGAACTTCTGGGAACATTAAGCTCTGGATTTAGTTCAGGGTCGCAAACTATTAAAGGAAAGTGTCTATGTATTCCAATCTCTGTTATCTTAATGAGAACAAAGAAGCCAGACATAAACTTTTCACCAATGGGTTCCTTTTGGTCGTCATCGAATAAATGTCTCATGAGATACTCTGTGCTTAACATTTCTTTCTTCATAACCTTTAGAATACCTTCTAAAGTATAAAGTCTTGCTATAGCTGATGGATATAATGAAACAGCGTCGAAATCAGCAATGAGTTTCTCTTTACTCTTTTGTTTAATGTTATCTGACAACATACATCTTCCACCTTGAATGCATCTCGAAATAAACTCTCTTGGTTTATTTGAGAGGTCATATAAATTTCCATTCGGGAAGTACACTCTGTTCTCAAATAATTTGTTAGCAATTGAACAAATACTAACGTAGTCATAAACGTTTAAATCAAATTCTTTCAATATGTCATTGCGGAACTTAACAAAACCTTCTCTTAAAATTCTTACATCTTGTTTGCAATAAAATGTGCTATACTTTTCTAAGTCGAAGTGGTTTTCATCTATTCTGCAACCTTTGATGGAATCTATGTTTTTCATGAACGTATCCGCATCCCGGATAAACTTACATGCTTCAGAAATGACACCAGTTCTGTTGTCATTTGCTAACAAAACACTGCTGTAGTAGTTGTATGGAAATACTTCTTTCGGTCCTGTTTGTAAGTTAAACATAGCAGGAAATAGTTTAAGCTTCTTATTTATAACACAGTAAGAGTCTTTTATAATAATTGCCCTTCCTTTATATAAGCCAGTTATTTGCATTGTTCGTGAACCTTTAATGATGGGAGTTCCTTTCACTTCTGTCATGTGTCTTAAGATGAAGTTTATGTCATAACTGAGGTTATGGAAATATATTAAACTCTTGTCAGGAAGTCGTTCCAAAAATTCTGTTGCACAGTTCTGACCCCAAATGCTTTCACTCACTGAACCATCTTCACTGTCATAACAGATGTTAAAAGCTTTATGAAAGCCGTCTGTGCTACACTCAAAGTCAGCAAAGAAAACGTGCTCAGGAATGAACTTGCACTTATTTTTATTTACTTCTTTTGACTCGGCTTTCTTCTTCAGTTGTACACAATACTTTGGAGCATATGTCAAATCTTTAAATGGTGCAAGGTTCTGTTTATATAAGTCAGTCGTATATGTGAAAAGTTCTCCATAAGAAATAGGTTCGAAATATTTGCACTCCCACAATGTTTTCATAACATCCCATAACGGTGTTGTTCTATCATAACGAACTACATATTTGTTCTCTCTCTTTGTATAAATCTTCATCTGTTTCTCAATGTTCATTCCACCACACTCCTTCAAGATTTCTATATAGTTGCGAATGAAATATGTTGTCATTGGTAATCTTTCATTTAGCATGTAGTGGTCTTCAACAAGAAGTAAGTCAATAGTTCGAATAGTTTTACATTCTTTTGGTATGTATCTCTTTATTTCATTATGTCTTGAGTCATTGAAGTAACCAATGGTAACATTAAATGCTATACATGTTGCATCAGAAATTTCTTGTACTTTACTTTGAGGAAAGTCTCTAACACGAATGACTTCTCTCATGTGGTCAATAGTCTCTCCATCTACTCCAGCCTGAATGCAAGCATAAACGAAACAATTGTCTTCTGTCATAAGTGCTGCAGTTCTTTTGTTCAATTCATTGAAGATTTGGTAGCGCTCAAGATTTATAGGTAATGTGCAAAGATACTTCCAGAACTGCCCGCTTCTCTTCTTATAAAACTTCTTTTCACCATTATCTTTCCAAAAGCTTTCTATAAGTGCTGGGTTTCCTGTTTGCTTAAGAGCTTCCAAAATGGCTTTCTGGTCATTGTCAGTGTGCTTTCATCTCTATATGGTCTCTTTTTTGGTTTGCCTTTCTTTACATCTGACATCGTTAAGCCTTCATATTCTGTTAAATCATACATCTTTATTTCGGTAAGATTCTTTATGTTTGTCAAGAAGAAGTCATAGTGCATTTCAACAATACCTGCAGCATTTGCTTCTATCTCTGATATAAAGTTCTCCTTCAAGAGCTGATGTAGTAATGTTCCAATATTATTGAGGTTTAACGTAGAACATTCATACTTTCCACCAAGTTTATAACATACCATCC